AAAAAAAAAAAAAAACTGTGGTTTTAGTCCACAAGAGAACTATACCGACCAAGCGACCGCCGCTTGTTGGCGAAGTTAGTGCCAACTTTAGTGGATAGACAGTGTCGTGTGGTCAGCACAATGAATCCCCACAGCCGTTAATCTCGGTTTTCTAGACAGGAGCCGCTCTTTCCTTGAAACAGCTCCTCAGTTATCCTCACAAGGCTGAGTGGGCCTTGTTCCAGACCCACTACTTCTCAGAAAATTTTGTAGTGCCTGCAGTCGAACCTGGACCTCTGGATCTGTAGCCAGGAACTCTGACCACTAGACCACAGAGGCAGATCAAAACATTACACCAGCAGTAACTGCAACTCACATGTTTATGATGTCACACAACAGTAAATTACAGAAAACCTGACTGACATTAATTTAAGGATGACTGTCACTTTACAAGCAAACCTAATATCCCACCAGAAAGATATACAACACTGTTTCAAGCAAAAAATTTCATCAATGGAAACTAGGCAAATACTGACCTGCTTCTTTGTGAAAAATTAACAGATTACATATAAAACTGTTAATTTTTCATGCACATACTAGTCATCAACATAACATCCCAACTATACATTACTGAAAACAATGCATGGTTAACACTTCAAGCATGATTTTGTTTTCAGAACCAATGATTCTATTACTTTAGTATCAAGATTGCTGGCCCTCACACTCTGAAATAGTAATAGTGCACTGATCTTCCCAGTTTGCATAATATGACAAGCCATTCCATGAAATGGTCCATATATATAAATTCTCCCATGAAATATAAAAGGCCATAAGAGCTGCAAAAAATCTCAAGTAAGGTTTTCTAATACATCTTACATTAGTGGCTTTACATAAATAAATTATTATGTAATATGATAAATTAAAATTGAAATAAGAATCTATAAACTCACCACACACTGATTATGCCAGAAAACACAAAAGCCGGTAGTAAACTTCTATTACACAACTGAATTACCGCTCAAGTCACATTTCCAAACTTGGAATTTAACCTCATTCAGATGGTCATGAGTTTTATCACTGACCAGATGTGGTGCAGGTTTCTCTGCTCACCAATTAAGTCTTCACTTTACGCAAGTTTCGACCTTTGGAATCTACAGAAAATCAAATCATCAGTAGATGAGAGTATATTTCCCTTTGGAGTCACCTTAGAGCATGGCTGGTAAGGCCTGTGTACTCACATTAATGTTTGCATTATACTGGTAAGTGCTTCATGTCACATATCTACTAACTGGCATTGTAAACACACTGTTATTGCCAGAAGAAAGTAAGTTCTCTTGTACAAACACTGGCATCACGTTTTTCTCTTCATTACGACACATCTGTGGCTAGCTCAGTCAGTATGACAGGCCACAGGCTGGAAAGCCGGGGGAAGAGACTGCTCTCTTCTCCACAGTGACCAGACTGGCTCTAGGGACCATCAGCCTCCTATTCAATGGGTTCTGGGGGCTCTTTTCTCAGCAGCACAGTAGCCAGGGCATGAAGCTGGCGACTCATCTCCATCTAACGCAGAAGAAAAGAATGGTGGAGCTATACCTCCACTCCCCCATATGTCTTCATGGCACAACACTTAATTAATTAAACCCAGGGATAACTTTACCTCACTATATGTATGTACAATTTATTCATGTGATTTTTTTGAGACTAAAGTAATAAAATACACAAGTGTGGAAAGAAGGTAAAGACAATTTCTGAAACCAACGTAGCAGTCAGAACCCTTCAGTATGTGTGTATATAATGCATTCACAGCCACTGCATTTTTTCAGACAATAGTGTGATGCACTGTGCTATCGAGGACGCCCCTCCCCCCCCACCAGCAGTGACGTGGCGAGCGGAGCCGAAGTGAGCTGAGTCCAGGCACGCTGGTCGCTATGCAAAGCGAGTAAACAGCGGTTGCTAAGCAAAGCCAGTCAACACCCCGTCTCTCGCCACGGTGACATAACACGGGACGCCGCAGTTGCTACGTACCCATGAACAACTCCCAACAGTGGTTGCTAGAGACGACGGTAATAACAGCGGTACCCATTACGTAACAGGCAAACACTGCAACTATATAAGGGAACTACACAGCCGCCGAAGACAGTTGGAAGTTACAAGTTACGAGTCAGTCAACCAGTCAGTTGTAGGCCAAGTAATTGTAATATTGCAGACGGCAGTAGTTGTGAAATTGTAAATTGTGTGATTGTATGAGTGAGTGTGAAATAAAATTCGCTATATTCAATACGGCGTGAAGTTATTTGTCGCGTTATACACCCAACACGTGACAATATGAACAGAATATAAAGACTTTCATTAACTACAACACCAATGCAACAGGAATGAAAATTATGAAGTATTACAATAAATGCTGCAATGAACTCAAAAGAGTTCAGTGGTTGCCTCCTAGACTGCTAACTTTGAAGAATGTATGAACACTAAGTTATCACATTTAAACAAACATAAGACACAAACTAAACTGTTTCCCAGCACTAAATGTCTTAAAGCTATCACTCTGCAATTTGATAGACATACAGATCTAAATTTAAGACACATGTAATCTAGTTCTATACAACTGCCTTAAGGCTCCCACACACAGACGCAATACTCAGCTCGGTATGGTACGGGACGATATCTAATTACATTGCGGTAAACGGAGGTCTGCACACTGGTGCAGTACTTCAAGGAACGCGATATTATCGCAGTCGGTATATCGCCTCGGTATTTTGGTCTACTGAGCGCACTCGGTAGATCGCGTGGTATTGCAGCGGTAAATAGTCATGGATCCGTCTTTGGAGGAAGAAGTTCTGCTTTTAGCTGTCGCTCTTGATGAAGACGAAGGTGAATCC